GGGAGGTAACAATGGGAAATGCTGTGGAATTATTGATTTAGAGGCACTTACGTTAGTCAAGAGATACTATCTGTTGTTTTGGTAAAAACACAGCTGCGAGGAATTACTGGTACTACAAGCATAAACATGAAGAAAATGACATACTTTCCCAACTAGTTCCAACCTCGCAGAAAAGGGCTTGATTGCCGCAGCCAGGAAGTGACAGAAACGAAACACGAAGAATGCATAATGACAGGTCTCTGAAGATCACTCCCTACGAGGTTCTGCCCAGAGCTATGTGTACCCTGACCTTAAAAAAATCAAAATAAATCCTGCACCCAGGCAATCCAAACCTTGCACCAATAAAATCTGAATTCTGTAACCTCTTACACAAATGCATCCATTCCATTGGTATAATTTCTGTGAGTGGAAATAAGTGACAGACTCCATTCTGCTCAGTTTGAGACAACACAGAAAGGATGGTGATGTGGGATGGAGCCAAGGGAAAAAATGTGATAAATAATTTTAGCTCACAAACCAGCAGCTTCATCTTCTGAAATAATCTGCAAAATGGGTCTTTATACCTTTTGGGACTTCCGAAACCAAATTCATACATGCCAGATTTTGGAAGATTTGAGGTCTTACCTGGGAGATATGGAATTGCTGTCACTCCATGCCTTTTGGCCCCTGTTCCTTTATTATTATTTATTAAATTTATATACCGCCCATCATCCAAAGATCACAGGGTAGTTCCTCATAACAGCTAGTTAAAGGCAAAGTGGGATATAATGGCATCATGCTGTGCACTGTCCCATCCTTTCAGCTGACAGCCTACAATAAGAAACGAGATTGCAGTGATGTGCAACACACTGATAGCCTTCTCACACTGGATAATGTGGAAGATTATGAAACAGAGCATAATGTCCAGTTAAGACCTCCAGGTTTTGAGTTGGTCTTCAGGAAGTGGGTTTTGGGGAGAATATTTGGGGCAGTGCCCTCACTTAATGAAATCCTCACGATGGTGGAATCTACACACATATTAAAAACACTGTGAAAATGTTGTTGTTGTTGTTTTAAAAAAAAGCTTTGAAAAATACCTTGATGTTGTTTAGTCATTTAGTCATTTAGTCATGTCTGACTCTTCATGACCCCATGGACCAGAGCATGCCTGGTATTCCTGTCTTGCACTGCCTCCCGCAGTTGGGTCAAACTCATGCTGGTAGCTTCGAGAACACTGTCCAACCATCTCGTCCTCTGTCGTCCCCTTCTCCTTGTGCCCTCCATCTTTCCCAGCATCAGGGTCTTTTCCAGGGAGTCTTCTCTTCTCATGAGGTGGCCAAAGTATTGGAGCCTCAGCTTCAGGATCTGTCCTTCCAGTGAGCACTCAGGGCTGATTTCCTTCAGAATGGATAGGTTGGATCTTCTTGCAGTCCATGGGACTCTCAAGAGTCTCCTCCAGCACCATAATTCAAAAGCATCAATTCTTCGGCAAACCGCCTTCTTTATGGTCCAGCTCTCACTTCCATACATCGCTACTGGGAAAACCATAGCTTTAACTATACGGACCTTTATTGCACTTTACCACACATTTAAAATGTTTTATTTGCAGTTGTATAGCTGAGTCCTATGCGTGTATTTGTTGCATGCCTACACGACATGCTCATGACACTGAATTCAGCCAACTACCTATGTATAAATGTGGCCCACCAGGGTTGTGATCAAGCCTCCTGTTTCTGCAGCCTACAGAGGAAATGCAAAAAATAAGAGGTTGCCAGGCACTCAGAAAGTCATAAGGCATGACTGGTGAGAATGTCGCTGCCTTGTGCTGAGCTATGCAACCCTGATAGAAGGGGAGCCTTAAGTAGACCCTATGGTGTTCCTAGGGTGCACTTTCAGCTCATGCAAGCCCAACAGGCCTGACCTAACATTCCATAAATGAGCTGAAGATACTTGCTAGAATCCTCTGTGCAGTTCTGGGGTTCCCTGGCAAATATATAAGCATTTCTCAGCAGGCAAGGCTCTGTGGTCAAGTTCCACTGAAGGCAGAAAATCCTGAAAGGGCTGCTTTCTAGAAGAGAGCAGTCATATGACAAATAGTTGCATAGATGCTTCTTGGGTTGCTTCAAATCCAATGTGTGATTCTCCTTGAAACAGCCCATCTTGCTGTCCTCTTCTTCCCCACTCACTGACCAGACCACTCGCTATGCATTCAATGTCAGTGTAGGCATTGATGCTTTTGAATTATGGTGCTGGAGGAGACTCTTGAGAGTCCCATGGACTGCAAGAAGATCCAACCTATCCATTCTGAAGGAAATCAGCCCTGAGTGCTCACTGGAAGGACAGATCGTGAAGCTCCAATACTTTGGCCACCTCATGAGAAGAGAAGTCTCCCTGGAAAAGACCCTGATGTTGGGAAAGATGGAGGGCACAAGGAGAAGGGGACGACAGAGGACGAGATGGTTGGACAGTGTTCTCGAAGCTACCAGCATGAGTTTGACCAAACTGCGGGAGGCAGTGGAAGACAGGAGTGCCTGGCGTGCTCTGGTCCATGGGGTCACAAAGAGTCGGACATGACTAAACGACTAAACAACAACAACAACACATTTTCAGACACATCAAATACTTTCTGCATATATGCATCTCATTAATACAGCATCAATGATTTACTCTTTTGTTCAAAATAAATGTGAAAAGAGGCTACGACTGGATTCCAGGCCTGTTTCACTTGGGATTCTCCTGACAACTTTCACCACCCTGCCTCAGAGGAATGTAGACCTCGCGGTCAAAAACTAATGTATTTCTGCTGGTTTCGTTTGCCTCATGCGATTACCTTAAAAGATCCTTTGCCACATGTCATCTTAATCCTTAGAGTACCCTAGAAGAAGATGAACAGACTACTTAAGCAAGCTTTGTAAATGTATGCGCCTGTCCATATGTATCAAAGTATACAGCTGCGCTCTGGTTTATGTCACATTTAAGTCCATTAAAAATACATGCATCCTTCTGAATTTAGTCCGATCCAAAATGTGCTACTTTGCTATCCGATATTGCCTTACACACATACGCACACATCTTGAAACACTCTGAATGGAAGTTCATAGAATCATAGAATCATAGAATCATAGAGTTGGAAGAGACCACAAGGGCCATCGAGTCCAACCCCCTGCCAAGCAGGAAACACCATCAGAGCACTCCTGACATATGGTTGTCAAGCCTCTGCTTAAAGACCTCCAAAGAAGGAGACTCCACCACACTCCTTGGCAGCAAATTCCACTGTCGAACAGCTCTTACTGTCAGGAAGTTCTTCCTAATGTTTAGGTGGAATCTTCTTTCTTGTAGTTTGGATCCATTGCTCTGTGTCCGCTTCTCTGGAGCAGCAGAAAACAACCTTTCTCCCTCCTCTATGTGACATCCTTTTATATATTTGAACATGGCTATCATATCACCCCTTAACCTCCTCTTCTCCAGGCTAAACATGCCCAGCTCCCTTAGCCGTTCCTCATAAGGCATCGTTTCCAGGCCTTTGACCATTTTGGTTGCCCTCCTCTGGACACGTTCCAGTTTGTCAGTGTCCTTCTTGAACTGTGGTGCCCAGAACTGGACACAGTACTCCAGGTGTTGGGTATTACAACAACAGGGAGCTTAGGTGGACAGATAAACATGAATGGCAAACATTCATTATAGAACAGTTTCCTGCTGGGACTGCAACACAACAACCCAGAATCCTCTGTGGGAACCAGGTGACACAGCAGGGCCAATCCTGCCCCACTGACAGATATAAAGTTCATAGATCTGCTACTTTCCCCCCATCTGGACAGGAGGCTACCAAATTCTCCCACTGTGCCATCATCAGATTGCTGAGTTGTAGTTCCCAATGCCTGATCTAACCCATGATGGCCTTTTCTGAATGGTAACAGCTCTCCAGGTCTCCAGCAGTCTTTCACCATCATATGCCACCTAATCCTTTTAACCAGAGATTCCTGGAAATGGGATCCAGGAACTTTTGCATGTTCTACCGCTGAGCTATGGCCCTTCCCTGCATATACTGATAATGTGAACAGGCCTCTTTGGTTTCACTGTTCATGGTCTTAGTTCATGTTGCCCCACATGAACTAAGAATGCACGCTGTTCCTTTCAATGGGACTTGCATGGGAGAATTTCCTGCTGAATGATGCTCCTTATTAATCCATTTCTATGTTTAGCGTGGGGTTGTTTTGATTTGATTTTCTGCTGCTAAGTGGTTGTAGCCAATGGCTGAAAGAAATACATTCCTAACCAAATTGAATGAATATTCCCAAGTGCTTTTTTAAAACACATAGCAACACCTCGTGGCACAGAGTCATATGCTTTACGTAAGCAACATGTTTTATAGGAGTTGTCTTGAATCCAAATAACAAAACCAAACCTGTTCAACAAGAACTAATTTCCATCCATATAGTAACTGTAGAGAAGCAGTAATTAATTTTCCTTTCTTTAAAACTTGATTGATTGAGCCTTGTATCAGATCTTCCATTGGTGGGAAGAAAGATGTGATCAGTATCACAACCTAATTAGCATGTAATCTTCACTTTTTATCTAAAATTTCCACTTGCATTGCCACCGTATTTGCTTAGTCTTCTCGGATCTATCCAGTATATCTGAATATCTCCAGATTAGCGTCAAGATTTTCCCTGGTCAGTTCTGTTGTTACGAGGGCACTATGTAGAGGTGATAATGGATAAGTTGCCTCTTCCTACAGCTCATTTCAGATGTCACGTGATGGTTTCTCAGGAGCACCTGCCTTTCCCCCCACAAAAAACCAAAAACCATCCACAAGTGAAAGACATGGACAGCACCTCTTTCATTTTTCCTCTGAAATTAATGCATTACATAGTTTGGGCTATCATTTTGAAAGTTCTTATATATTCTGCTTTAGCCAGGAGCTGGTAAGAAGCAGCCATTGTGGCTAACAGCTATTGATAGCTGAGAACATCTCCTTTCTGCTCAGGTAGCATCAAAGTTGCTATAGGGCGGTGGCCAAGATGGCGTCGGAGGGCGACTTGGGCAGGAAGTGGGACCGGTGCTTGGCTGACTCCGCCGTCAAGCTGGGTGCTGGCTTTGGGTTGGGCGTCGTCTTCTCGGTCATCTTCTTCAAAAGGAAGACGTGGCCCATCACTCTTGGGTCTGGAATAGGCTTAGGAATGGCTTATTCAAACTGCCAGCATGACTTCCGGTCTCCTTACCTTCTCCACGGGCGGTTTGTCAAGGAGCAATGATGCAGGCCCGACCCACGCCTCTCTTTTGCCAGAGGATCAGCGGCACCATGGCAATTCCTCGGGAAGGTCGAAGCGTCCCGGCCTTGAGGCAACGGCCTTTGGAAGCGCTCGGCCCGTTGCTCTTTTTTCCCGCGACACCTGGAACCGAATATCGTGGGGTTTTTTGTAATCCCCCTTTTGGAAACGAAAACGGGGAAGGTGCTGTTCTGGAAAGTGAAATAAAAATGAGAGTCCACCCCCTTGGGAAAAAAAAAAATCAAAGTTGCTATAGCAGTAACAAAAACATGCACATTCATTGCATTGTTTTCTGAAACCTTGTGTCCTTTCCAAAGCTCCACACATGGCCTCTCTTTGCTAAGGTCTGATCGGTAAGTAACTATGTTTAGGCTAATATCACATTGGCTACCAAAATGCCCGATCCTAAAAGCCAGTAGGTCATCTTTGCCTTTGTTCAGGGCAGAATACGGAATGCAGAATTCCAGCTTGTCAACACCTCCCATGCCATCTGTTCTCTTGGCTGCTGCAAGCATACTTGCATTGCGTTCAGAGAAGTGCTCTCACTTGACTATAAATTGTCTTATAACAAAACCCAGGTACCCTGAGAGAGAGAGAGAGAGAGAGAGAGAGAGAGAGAGAGAAGTGTGTGTTCCTGTGTTCTTGTGTCTGTTTTACTTTCAGACCTGCTTGGGATCAGCTCAGGAGTTGAAGACCAAAAGACTGAAAGTTTGTGTCCTGGGTTGGTTTCACTTCACACAAACCCATCAGCCACATGAAAAGTGCTGCCCCATGCTGTAGCAATGCTGTAATGTCGGCAAATACCTCAATCCAACCAACTGTATGGTTCTTTTTTTTTAAAAGATATTTATTAAAGTTTCGACATATTACAAAAATAAGAGGAAAAAGTTTTTAAAAAAACAAAAAAAACAAAAATGAAAATACAAAGTAAAAACAGTTAAAAACAAATCAGTCTTTCCATATCTTATCTTTCATTTGCTTGTTTCCCTGACCTCCTCACATCTCCCTTTTTTGTATTCCAGTTCAATTAGTTAATTCAGCAATTCCTTTCCCTCTTTGGTTTTATCTTAATCTTCCATCTTAATATATTATAACTTTAAATTATCACCTATTAATAATCCATTTTTACATATTCCTTTATAACATTGCTACTAAAAACCACTTAACTTCAATCCAACATCATTCTAACATTCATTAATTTTGCAGTGTTTCTGTAAATAGTTTTTAAATTTCTTCCAATCTTCTTCCACCGACTCTTCTCCCTGGTCTCGGATTCTGCCAGCAACTGTATGGTTCTTTCCCATCCAATCACTACCCTACTGGTAGGAATGACAACAATTGGGTGGGAAAGATTTGCATAATTGGCCCTGCCCATGCAATTCCACTATTAATACCCGTGCTGTGTCAAAAAGGTTTCCTCTTTTAGTTTGTTTGTTTGTTTGTTTTGCTTCAGTTGCTGAGGAAAGAAATCAAAGGGGAAATAAATCTTCAGTGAAATTCTCGTGGGTTTGGTAGAAGGTTTTCAATCTGCTTCCCTTACTATGGAGGCAGCTGATGGGTGTTTGTAGAATGAAATAAAAGGATACTTGCCAGTGATGCGAATTCTGAAGTCTTCCCAGGTGACCACACCTCAATTATAGCATAGGAGAAGACATCATGAGGCAACTCATGAGGCAGCTAAAAAAGCCAATGCAATTCTGGGCCTCATCAATAGGAGTATAGCATCTAGATCAAGGGAAGTAATAGTGCCACTGTATTCTGCTCTGGTCAGACCTCACCTGGAGTACTGTGTCCAGTTCTGGGCACCACAGTTCAAGAAGGACACTGACAAACTGGAACGTGTCCAGAGGAGGGCAACCAAAATGGTCAAAGGCCTGGAAACAATGCCTTATGAGGAACGGCTAAGGGAGCTGGGCATGTTTAGCCTGGAGAAGAGGAGGTTAAGGGGTGATATGATAGCCATGTTCAAATATATAAAAGGATGTCACATAGAGAAGGGAGAAAGGTTGTTTTCTGCTGCTCCAGAGAAGCGGACACGGAGCAATGGATCCAAACTACAAGAAAGAAGATTCCACCTAAACATTAGGAAGAACTTCCTGACAGTAAGAGCTGTTCGACAGTAGAATTTGCTGCCAAGGAGTGTGGTGGAGTCTCCTTCTTTGGAGGTCTTTAAGCAGAGGCTTGACAACCATATGTCAGGAGTGCTCTGATGGTGTTTCCTGCTTGGCAGGGGGTTGGACTCGATGGCCCTTGTGGTCTCTTCCAACTCTATGATTCTATGATTCTAACTCCTCCTATGGAGCTTTTTCACATCGGAATGTGTGGGTAGCAGCCAGGGAGGCTGCAGAGGGACAAAGAATTGCTTACTGGGGAAAAAACACATAGCATCTCTGAATGGGTGGGCAGGTGGTGCAGCATGGCCCTGCTTGGCTCCAGTGGGGTGAGGGGGTCGCTTTGGCAGCACTGGTGGTGAGGGCTGGGCTGGCGCAGTTGGCTCCATTCACACTTCACGTCCTGCCATCGCCCAGCATGCACCCACCCACCCACCCGCACCCTGGGTGCCGGCAAACCACGCTAGGTTGCTGCATATATTGAATCTAGCAAGGTCCGGCTCTCCAGCAACACTGAGGCTGTTCCCCTGAAAGCCAAGACAAGCTGAGAATGCTTCAGCCCTTTCTGCCACAGAGTGAGTAGGAATAGAGTAATGGTGTCCAAACTTTTCTCAAAGAGGGCCAAATCTGATGAAGTGAAGGGCCATGGGGGCCGACCAAAGGACCGACCAAAGTTGTTGAACTTTTTTTAGGATGGAAGTTGTTGAGTGAAATATACTCAGAGTCGAGTGTGGATTTCATGCTCTTTATTCAGCTCATAGTAGTGAGGAATGAAAGTTCCCCCCCAAATATCTGCTTTATATACATTATTTACACAATGGGTCGCACATGATTGGCTAATTCTGGGATTCTCCTGTAGGCCAATCAGGTTGTGGATTCACTTCCACCTGGAGCTGGATTGGGTGGCTCCTGCGGGCCAATCATACTGCTGCATTGTTCTAGGACCAATCAAACTGCTGCATTCTGGACCCTATTGTTCTAGGACCAATCAGACTGCTGCATTCTGAATCCTATTGTTCTAGGACCAATCAGACTGCTGCTTTTTGGATCCTATTCAACTCAGTACATAACATTGAGGGGTTTTTTAGGATTTTACCCCAGGAAATAAACTGCCACAGGGCTGGATTGAACCGACCAGCGGGCCAGATTAGGCCAAAATGGACTTTGGACATACCTGGAACAGAGGCTTTGGCAGAGAACTTCCCTGACCATTTATCTTGGAGTCAGCAGTTTAAACACATCATGGAGAGCGTTAAGCACATGCTCTGTTCTCAACCGCTGAAACCAGCGGCATTTAAAAGTGCCTAACTCTGTCTGGATCTCGCCCTTTCTTTCCTTCCAGTAGTTTGTGCATTTATTTCAAAGTGTGATGCCAGGAGGGAAAAGCCACTGATAAGGCAGTATCTGGGAGGCTCAACAAGTTATCTGCCTTGACCTTTGGAGAGCAAAAAGGAAAGTGTTGTCACTCCAGGGAGATGTAGAGGTCAGGCGAAGCACGCGGGCAGCCGGTAACTTTTTTTAGAGTGTGTCAGAACCAGGGCAAAGTGAAGACAGACTAGACTTAATCCTTTAACCTAACCTGTCAAAAAAGCATCAAGCCAGCCTGCCAACTGTGCAACCACCTCATAACTCAGAAAGGTATGCATGATTGCATTTATGCATTTACGATTGGTAAAGGGATTTTATGGTGTTGATATTCAAGGCATTGTGAAACCCCGACCACGTCTCTCAGTCTGAAAACAAAAACAAAGGGAAAATAAGAATCATTCAGCCAAACCCACAGTCCGGTGATATGCTCCACAAATGTAATTATGGCTAAAAGGTGAGAATGTGTAAAGGATTATTTAATGCCAGACACAGCTGTAATATTTTAATAAAGATACAATTATTCATGCCATTAAAAAAATCAAGAACACACACAGTCACATTTTAATACATTCTTTACACACATAATGATGCTAGGCTAATTTCTCAAACATGTTCACTGCATGCATAAAAACAAGAAGAATGATTCACCAAATATCAATGGGAGAGAGTTACGTATGAATATAATGCAATAGGTCCTGAAAAAAATACTTAACTCTGGCTGCATCACATACCGTAATTGTAAACCCATCAGAATGGTTCGTATTCATTTTTCTCTAAACTCACTTGTATACTTTTGTGAATGATTGCAATTAATAATCTTTTACTTACTTGGGATTCAACCGAAGTAAAGTACAGTGGTACCTCAGGTTACATACACTTCAGGTTACATACAGGCTCTGCTAACCCAGAAATAGTGCTTCAGGTTAAGAACTTTGCTTCAGGATGAGAACAGAAATCATGTTCCGGCGGCGCAGCAGCAGCAGGAGGTCCCATTAGCTAAAGTGGTGCTTCAGGTTAAGAACAGTTTCAGATTAAGTACAGACCTCTGGTATGAATTAAGTACTTAACCTGAGGTACCACTGTACTGTTAAGACCATCGATTTCAATGGAGGGCTTTGAAACACTTCTAATTCTCCTGTTGAAATCAAGAAAACTTGAAAAGAGCATCATTTCAGATGGATTCTGTTCTCAGTTTATAATCTACTTTCTCAGCCTATATTGGTTTATTTGGTCTACAGGCCATAAATATAAATATGGAGTTGGATTATAAGGACCCTCTAGCATCCCATGTCCCCATCTGTTGGCTTTCCTTGTGGCCACAGTGGTAGGCAAGCCATTTCAATCTCCTACACCCTCAAGGGTTTGGGTGTTGCAGACAGAGATAAAATTCTACTTCCCAAGTGAAAGGAATTGTGCTCATAAAATAGTTGGATCCAAGCCATAATCTTTTGTTAATTTTGAGAGAGCAAATATTCCCTGGATGTTTGAATATTCCATAAATGTTCCATGTTTCTTGTCTGCGTTTTGGCATCCAATAATTTTACCAAGGCAGCCAGCATTTGGCAGTAAGCAACTGACGTGAAATAGCGTTTAACAAATGTTGTAGTAGGTCCCTTCATAGCAGGGGGAACCAAAGTCAGCAATTTTGAAAATTTTGAGGCTGACAACAAAATGTAAAAAGGCATGATTTTAATTTGCTGAATTTCAATGGTTTTTGTTTGTTTGTTTGTTTGCCAAACAAATGATTTGCCCCATTGCTTGGATAACTCTTTCAGCTTTGACTTTGCTCAGCAGTGATGAAACTGTCTCATTTTGATGATGCGTAGAAGACTCAGCAGATGCAAATTCCCGGGAGGGAAAATATTTAATTCCACCCCTTCTGAGACCTAGAGATATTAATCACACCCAAATGTCGCACTGAGATGGGAAGCAAATGTCTTTTGGTTGCTCTGATGAAGGTAGCTGGGTGGCCCAAGGTACAGGCAAAATTGTCCATGGAAAATAAGTCCTACAAGGACACGCAATGTATTCATCCTATTTCTAGAATGGATGACTTCACAGGAGCACCATTTCAGAGACAATGAGGGGAGCAATGAAAATTCAAGGGCAGAAAGGGAAGGATCCATAGGTCTTGGATATATTCAAGGTTGGGAAGGAAGGGAGTAGAGGCTGGTTATTAGGGCAAATGATGCACCAGCCTCAGCCAGACCCCATCTACCTGCTGTTATGTACTGAAGTTCTCACTCTGGGCCAGCAAGGGGATACTGTAGATAGTTATGCAAATAAGGGATCGAAAGTGACGTTCAGTGATTGGATAGTTTTAGAAATTTGTTACAGTTACGTTGTACTGGAGCTCTATATAAGCAGGCTGACTGAACCCTTCAGTTCAGTTCTGTTCTGGCCTCTGAATAAACAAGAGCTGTTTGAAGAATCGCTGTGTCGTGTGATATGTTCACCCACAACTTAACACTGGCAACAAGGATGGGATCGATGGACATCAGAGCACAGCCAGATGCGGCCACCCTCTGAGCTGAGCTGAATCACTGAGCTGAATCGCTGAGCGCAATCACTGAACGTCACTTTCGATCCCTTATTTGCATAACTATCTACAGTATCCCCCTGCTGGCCCAGAGTGAGAACTTCAGTACATAACACCTGCCTTCTTACTTACAGTTGGAGAGGATGGCAGCACATTTTTTGTCAGCCTTACCTTTTGCCTTGCGCTTTCTAGGCATACATCCACACTATAAAGCTCCATGTCCGAGCACTCTCTCTCTCTCTCTTTTTTTGCACTGCCACTTTACCCAGGAAAAACGCACTCTTCAGGGGCATACCTAGGGGATGGTTAGGTTGGCCCTCGCCAAGGATCCAGGCTCAGGGTGATGCAAAAATTGAGCATCTCTGCTCTGGTTCAGAGTGGCCAGGAACCCACATACCTATCTGCACACTCCCTGGGCTGCTCCTCCGCTACTTTGGGCAGCTGGGCTCCTCTGGGAGCCTTGGCAGAGGAATCTGGTCAGGCAACTCCTTGCCAAGGGCTCAAGGGAGCCTAGGTAAGCTCTGCCACCCTTTAACACTGAATCAAAACAAACAGCAATTTGAGTTTCTTGCGGATTGCTGTTTGCTCTGTGGCAAAAACAACAACAACACTTGGACACAGAGCTTTAAAGCATGGACCTGTGGCTAGAAACGCAGCGCAAAATGAAGTATGGGGGAGTGTTGACCCTGCAGAACTCAGCAGGTCAAATGGAGCCCGAACTAGAATCAGTTGGCTCTGCCTGTCGCTGGTTGTGGCGCCACCTACTGTTGGCCTCCCTGCCCTCTGCTCAATGAGCACCAGACACCACTGGAATAAAGGATCCATCAAAAGTATTTATTGTGATAACTTTGTGTGCCTCCTAATAACCAGCTTTATATTGAGGTCCGACCACAAGTGGTCCCGAAACACAAAGGGTTTGTTTGGGCTTCCCGTCCACGTCCTGTTTCCCGTAAATGGCCTGCAACGACCCACCCGCCACTGCCATTTTAAGCACAGCTATTCATTCACAACACTTACAATTTGTAACAGTTGTTATCAAGTGTAGGGTGTGAACCAGACAATGGTTCAACAAGGGGATGGAAGTGAATTTCTTGTTTCAACATTAGAGCTGGTAAAGAAGATCATGTGTTAATTAAATAAAAGACTAAACGGGACAAACCTTTGAAACAGCAGGCATAACATTTAAGAACAAAGCCAACATGGCAGGGGAAAGGTCAGAGAAGATCAAGTTAAAAGCTAATAGTTGTGCTTTTTCCATTTTATTATTGATCAATAGGACGCCGGGTTTTTTCTTCCCAGCGAAAATGCAACCGCAGAGTTATTACTGACCTTTTCCTCACCCTTCCATTGTGTATAAAATCACAGCAAAAAAACAACAACTTCATAAGCCCCATAGTTTTTCTAACAGAAAGAATGCGTGTGTCCAGAAAAATAATGTAAGATGTTTATATCTTCGGAAAATGGGTCTTTTCAACAAACCCGCTTCCCTTTTAATTATAGATGTGAGAGACTCTGGTTCAAGGAGGCTTCCGCTCAGAATCACAAATTGCATGCAGAAAACTCAGCAATCTCTGGTTTTGGCATTTAAATGAGTAATTTGACAGCTCAGTCCTGAACACAGAAAATGAACACCAAAAAAAAAATAAAAATGTTTTCTCCACAATGGTGATGGGCCCCTTTAAAACATAGAAATAGTCTAACCTTTCCTTTCCATAGATCAGTTTTATGCATCAGCTTTATCTCGAGGTCTAACAGAAGAAAATGGGTGCATTTCAGATTAAGATTACCTAACCACTTAAATTGCATCCCCCCTCCTCCGCTTGATTCCCCCTGGGGTGAGGCTCCTTCCCAGCCCACGTAAATTGAGCATTTCCATTTCTTCCTGCAAATCAGTCCTCGAAACCTACTTAAAGCTAATCACAAACTGAAATTAAGTCTAAATGTGTGTAGCTACATGAGTTCTCATGCATCTTTTATCATCCTGGTCTTTCCGATCCTTCTCCACGGTCCAAAAATGAGACCTGGTTTACAGAAAACTGTTTTCCCTTTGGGATTTTGCATCTGGCGCTGAGTTTACCATCTCTCCCTACCTACACAGCAGGGATGGAGAAACCGTGACTTTCCAGCTGTTGCTTGATTACAACTTCCATCTTTCCTGGCCATTTTGCCATGCTGGCTGGTGCTGGTAGGAGCTGGAGCCCATAACATCTGGACGGCTACAATTTCCCCATCCTTGACATCATAGAGCCATCATACAAACAGTTTCTCCACCATCTTACATCAGGGATGGGGAACTTGAGGCTTGCCAGATGGTGTTGGATTCCAACTCCCATCAACCCCAGCCAGTGTTGCCAGGGGTCAAGGATGATGGGAAATGTAGTTAAATCACATCTGGAAGGTCACAGGTTCCAACACCCTTGCTTTTACATTCATGGCAGCTGCTGATTAGGCTTTGGGGCAGTGAAATGTGGATGTCCCAATTCACAGAATGAATTCAAGCCTAAGACATCTAGGAGAAGATACATATCTGCCCTGAAGACTTCCCCAACTTACTGCCCTCCATATGTTTTGGACTACAACTCCCATCGTCCCTGACGGGGGCTAGGTGAGGCTGATGATGAGAGTTGTAGCCCAAGGCATCTCTGCAAGGCACTAGAATGGGAGATGCTGAAACGGACATTACGTTTGCATGTCCAGTCCTTCGTGGCATCTGTTTCCCATGCCCCAGATAAGGCCTAGACTAGAGGGCTCCCCATGCTGGCTTAACAAAATACTGTGCAGTTTGCAGCAAAAAATAATAATAACTAAGGGGAAAGGGGACTGGTCATTTGTGAAGCCACAATACTCCTCTCCACCTCGTGAGACCTGACTAATATACCATATTTTTCGCTCTATAAGACGCACCAGACCACAAGACGCACCTAGTTTTTGGAGGACGAAAACAAGAAAAAAAATATTCTAAATCTCAGAAGCCAGAACAGCAAGAGGGATCGCTGCGCAGTTAAAGCAGCAATCCCTTTTGCTGTTCTGGCTTCTGTGATGGGTGCGCAGCCTGCATTCGCTCCATAAGATGCACACACACTTCCCCTTACTTTTTAGGAGGGAAAAAGTGAGTCTTATAGAGCAAAAAATACAGTAATTAGCACATTATGCTTATCAGCCACACTGGTATGCACATGAGGCATGTTCAGTGAGCATGACAAACCTGGGTAGTTCCCAGCCACCCGCTACCCAAATAGGTGCTTCATCAAGTACCAGAGACAACAGGGAGGTTCCCAGCAGAAGGTCTCCTTACACTGGTACTTACTTACTACCCATAAGAGAGAGGGAACTTTTCACAGCAACTCTGCATCGGAATTCAAGAAGACACAACTGTGCATTGCAGAGATGGAGATGGATGCTACATGACCGCACCGTGCAATGAAGCCTCTCGCTGCCTCCCCCAAACTCCTCACCAAATAGCACATTCTGGAAATACAAACTACTGAGGGACAACGTCCGTAAGTGAAGACGAAACCCACAAATGGAGCAAGAGAAGTGGACCAGCTGACCGCCGGGATCATTGATTCTGTTAGGGGGGCAAAGAGGTTCCTACTTCTACAGAGGACAGTCCTCTGTTTGAAGGAGTTTGAACTTGATTGGCTGACTTCTGAGTAAACATATATGGGACTGCACTGCTAAGCAACTGTACAGTGGTACCTCTGGTTGCATGCGCTTCAGGTTACAGACTCCGCTAACCCAGAAATAGTACCTCAGGTTAAGAACTTTGCTTCAGGATGAGAACAGAAATTGTGCTCCGGCGGCGCAGCGGCAGCAGGAGGCCCCATTAGCTAAAGTGGGTTAAGAACAGTTTCAGGTTAAGAACGGACCTCTGGAACGAATTAAGTACTTAACCCGAGGTACCACTGTCTTTCATGGAATTGCATGGGAGACCAGAAAAGGGCATTAAGGCCCTTCTGGGGTTTGGGGGGGTAATAAAATAATGCTTTGGGGGCAGTTTATACTATCAACAGAATCAAGTGTTCATTCCCCATCCCACAATGGACTGTACCATTTTCACAGAGGCTAAAGGGTGGAGGCTGAATTTGAATGAAACCCCTCTGCATAGAAAAATAGCCTGTTAGGAAAAGATTTGGCTGAATCCCTCTTCCTGTCATGTTAGTTTTTTGCACATAGGAAAGTTGGGGTTTTTCCTTAGTAAATCATCCGAACACACAACCACCCCATACATACCTGTGGTCTGAAGTGCTGTCTGAACTGGTACAGTCCTGCCTGGAAAAGCTTGACTACAGTGGTACCTCGGGTTGAGTACTTAATTTGTTCCGGAGGTCCATTCTTAACCTGAAACTGTTCTTAGCCTGAAGCACCACTTTAGCTAATGGGGCCTCCTGCTGCTGCTGTGCTCCTGGAGCATGATTTCTGTTCTTATCCTGAAGCAAAGTTCTTAACCTGAAGCACTATTTCTAGGTTAGCGGGGTCTGTAACCTGAAGCGTATGTAACCTGAAGCGTATGTAACCCGAGGTACCACTGTATATGGTTCTGGTGATTGTAGAAACAAGCTCTAGACCAGGGGTCAGCAAACTTTTTCAGCAGGGGGCCGGTCCGCTGGCCCTCAGACCTTGTGGGGGGCTGGACTATATTTTGAGGGGGGGGGGAGAACGAATTCCTATGTCCCCCAAATAACCCAGAGATGCATTTTAAATAAAAGCACACATTCTACTCATGTAAAAACGCCAGGCAGGCCCCACAAATAACCCAGAGATGCATTTTAAATAAAAGGACACATTCTTCTCATGTAAAAACACACTGATTCCTGGACTGTCCGTGGACCAGATTGAGAAGGCGATTGGGCCGGATCTGGCACCCGGGCTTTAGTTTGCCTACCCATGCTCTAGACCGAGACAAATAGCTTCACCCCAAGCTGTTCTGTCACAGCAAATGGGTGCTTAGGGGCATTCTTACAGCGACACCAGCACATAGCCACACAACATGATGTTCCATAGGCAGTGCAAGCATGTATGTCAGTGTAAATTTTTAGGAATTAGGTGCAGAGCCCTGCTTCGCCAATGTAAAATGCAAAGAGAGAGAGAGAGAGAATATTCGGTGTGGATAATTGTTTATAAGGAAGGAAATGAGTCTGGGAACAATGTACCTATCAATCAGTGCCTGTGGTGAACCGATTTGTTAAAGTTAATAGAGCAATCTATAATGTAAGACAAATTAGTGTTATTAGTCTAGGTTTTATGGTCCAGTGCAAGTAATAATATGCAGTAAAGCAATAAGAATAATTAGTTATTATGATAAAATGTACATTTTAATGTGGAAAAAAGTATGCATGCATTTTATTTGGTGGTGTTGACTCTCCAGCAATTCCCTCCATAGCTGCCTCAGGGCATCCAGCAACAACCCCCCACCCCAAGTGAGATTCAAGACTGGAAATTACTTCGTCCAAAAAAAGAGAGAAGAAGCAGCGGAATAAAATGTGTAGCAAAACTTATCACGAAGGAGCAAAGGAAGCGTTATCTCATTATTAAGCGAACAAAATAGGTTGTGTTACATAGGATTTTAATTAATTTCAGAATTTCATCTAATTTATCTATAAGACGGAAGGACCATAAACCAGGGAATGGACTACTTGGGACAAGTTAACTTTCCAAAATTAAGACAGAGAGCCAAAAAGCAGCAGCATGTCCAATGTCTCAGGCACACTCAGCAAGATTTGTGGCTCTCCCCTCCCGCCCCGCTTGTTTGTTTTTTTGAAAGGTAAATTACAAACTGCTTTTGCAACATCCCTTAATTTCAAAAGTGGCCTTCACACAAAAAAGTCAATGGGGTATTAGGGCATGCCATTTTAGGGGGGCAAAACTTAATTTTTGCAAATTTCTTCAGTGAAGGGGTCTTAAAATTACATTTTGGGGTGTGAGGAATCCAAATCTGCAGCGATTGCTGTGGTTCAACAACATTTAGTTAGCTTGGGAAGTCTACATTTGATGAAGAAGCACATAAGCTGCTTTCAGAAAACCAAATAATTTCTGTCTTACCTTCTGAAAATGTCGGGTAATGCTAAATAATAAAAATAACAAATGATATTAATATCTAATATTAACTGCAAGTACTTGGCAATCATTTTTAATGATTTCTATGCAATTTTGTATGTAGCTTTTACTTACCAAGCAAAAGTAAATTATATTAATTTAACCAAACTATATTTTGTTTTGTTTTTTAATATTTTTTAATTAAATTTTCTGTTTTACAATTTCAAATAAACATTTTACATCTTTAAGATATCAATGACTTCCTTTCTTCTCTTTCCATGGTTCATTTTTACATATCTTAAATCCCTGCATACTTTACAAAAACTATACAAATTGGTTTATACTTTACAAAAACTATACCAATCGGTTTTCCATTATTGCAATCATCAAAACTTTAATGCTGAATTCATTTTAATGCTGCCAGTGTTTTCAGCTGTACACTGTTGAATTCATTTTAATGCTGCCAGTGTTTTCAACTGTACACAATTATTTTCCATATATTCGATAAACGTTTTCCAATCTTTTTTAAACATATGTTCTTCTTGTTCTCTTATTCTTATATGTTAAGTCTGCAAGTCGTGCATATTCTGTCAACTTAACCAAACTATATTTTGAATTCGCCAGTCATGTTACAACTTCTTAGCACTCCTCATTTTTGGAGTTTGAAAGTTGAAAAATTCAACACACAAGTGAGCAGAACTAGTTGCCTAGTTATTTCTCCCTATCAACCCAGGCTTCCGATGAATTGAATTCTAGTCCATGAAAGCTTATGCCACAATAAATTTGATAATTCTTTAAGGTGCTACATAACTCTTTGTTGTTGATGGAGGAGAAAGTTATTTGTATTTTCCTTTGTTTTATTTTATATTATGCCAAAACTAAATGTTGCAACTAATGGGCATAATTCACCTGCAAGTTTTGCTATGCAAGCACCATCAAATTGAATGGGCGCTGTTCAGTGGTGGTTGCACAGAATTTCCCAATTTATTCTGCCCAACAAATAAAATGTTGTGTGTGCATATGTGCGTGTATGTAGAAACAATAAAAATGAAATTTAGGGACCCTTGCAATTAACTCACTTTCTTTCCTTCCCCAAAGATCTTGCTGGGTGAGCAAATCCTTACAATTAATTTATACAAATTGAACATTCCCCCCCCCCTTCTACTTAAAAACTAGTCCTTAATTAACTGAATTCCAGAGCTTTCTGCTTCCTTAAATGTAAGGCCGCGCTTATTTCATTTGACAGTTTATTCCAGAGAAAATTAAAACAATAGAAGCTCCCGACTTTCGTTCCCTTTTAGATTAGTATTTTACAATATACACTCCGTTCCTTTACTTTTTGAAGGCCATAACGGAATTTCATTTTAATTACCTGAACTAAAAGGTTTCAAGCCCATCAGATTGCTTTTCAAGGTATTAGCCGATCCCCTAACCAATTACTCACTTTCTCCTTTACTTATTGCAAATGTGACCTTTCGATTGAGTTTGATTGCAAGTTTCCTGCTGAGGGTGTGTAACTATTTCTGTGTCTAAGTATGGCTATTGTCTTCTCATGTGATGACTGCGGTTAATTTTAATACACTTTGATGGCCGGAGAACAAATAAGTGTCGGTGACAATGTGCAGAGACATTTGAAGGAGGATAAGCTACCACTTTAATGAGTGGGGATCAGCAAGCTAAGAGGCCTGCTAGTGACAAACCCAAAGACCCGCTGCAACTCAGACAAAGAGGAATGTTTGCCTATCTGCAGGTAATAAGAAACTTCCACACCAAAAGCAAAAAAGAAGACAAACAAGAGGGGTGGAGATATATATATTGATAAATGCACTGTTAACGGAAAAATCTGAGGGCTCCCTTGGACAAAAAAACAAAGACACCAACCAGGATTACTTGGAGCAAAACAGCAGCCTGTAGGCTTGGCCTTTATTGATCTGTTGCAACAGGGTGCTCCCCTCACCTGCAGGAGAGAGGAGGGACCTAGAAAAATGGTGTGCAAGGCCTTATAAAGACTTTTGAAATTGCCACCCTGTAGATCAAGACCACCCCCAGAAACATCATACATACATCACAGAAGGGGTGTAACCTAAGACCACCCCTCAGATACATCACTCCTACATCACAGAAAAGGCGGTCTAAAACAGAAATTTTAATATTGATTTTCTCCTGTTGTTGTTTATCTCCTGTCTGGCAGGTTACTTGAATGGATTTCCTGGGTAGCCTGGCTAGTCTTTTGTAATTATAAATACTTAATTCCTGGGCCATGTCATAGGCTCACACCCTATTCAAACACAGACATACCCTTAAGACAGGATTTGTGAAGGAAAAGACAATGGGGAGGCTTTTCCATTTTGACCTTGCAGAGAAAAGATTTGGTCAGTTTAGGAATCAAAATGGTTCCAGGTTGGCCTTCCTGTGCTGATCTATGTATGTGCTTGGTTGGTACACTTATGAACATTACCATATATCTAACACCATAAAATTCCTATCACAGCAGTCATCAATTCACATCAACTAGGGGTGGAGCATCCTCAGCTGTCCAGATGTTGGTGAACTACATATGCCATCATCCCTGACTGCTATGCCTTCTGGCTCAGGCTGATAGGAATTGGCATCCCCAACATACACAAAAGGTTCCAATCAATCAATCTGTCAATCAAGCTTTATTGGCATACAGAGAAGACGAATGGAAACACAGAACTGGCATCTGTTCACAGGAGGAGACACCGCGAAACAAAACCACACAGGCCTAATAAGGTTCCAAAAAAATACCGCTCAAGTCTGAGGGCGACGTGATTTCATGGCGTCGCTCAGATATTCTGCTACTTTCTCCGTGCTATCAATGCCTGCAGCTATTCAGTAAAAAGGAAACCCTGCAGGAGGCAGAACAATTTAACCTCTCCTTCAGCATGAGGCTCAAACATTTGTCGCAGGTTACTGCATAAAATGGACAGTAGAGCAAGGCGTGAGCAATGGTCTCGACCTGTCCTGCGCTGCAGGGACAATGCTTCTCTGAATATGGACACTTCAAGAATGAAAGGTTGAAATGAGGCTTTTCCCAGCTTTTTCCAAAAGCAAAACCATTTGATGTAGAATCTTCATTCATTTCCTTTCACTTTATTCATTGATTAAAACCCTTTGGTTTTAATTAATCTATGTGGGGTTTTTTGTTGTTGTTTTTGTTGCCTTGGGCAAGATAAATCAGCTAACAATAACTTGCTGCCTATTATTATTATTATTATTATTATTATTATTAATGTATGCTGGACTAGGTGGGTCTTTCAAAGACTCCAACTGGATCACATCTACATTCTTATGTCAGGGGATAGATCCTGATGGTACCTGACCCTTGATAGACATGGGAATACACCTAGGAGGAAATAGACTAGCCTTCTTTGTTTTTTGCCCCTCACCCTGAGATTTTCCTCCTTCTGGAGAGCTGTGTTCCTTAGGCCCAAACCTTAACACTTCAGGCGGAGACCTGGTGATTGCAGTCAGGCATCTGGGGAGCTGAGAACACAAGTCTCAGCAAGGTGGGAGACGGAAGTTGTTTGGAGTTATTGCACAGACCCACACAAGAGTCAATAGGGCAGCCGGGCCAATTGCAGGCTAGTCTCTGAGCTGAGAATATCACCCAAAAGGGTCAGCAGAGAAGCTGGAACAATCATACAGACTGGCAGCAGGCAGGCAAATGGAGAGGGAAGTGATCAGTCAGGCTGGCAAGCAGCTACGCTGAGGGCAGAGATGATACTCTGCAATCCATTTCCATGGCCACTCTTCCTTCAATACACATTCCCATCAATTGGTGGTCATCACACTTTGTTGTTGTTGTTGTTTAGTCATTTAGTCGTGTCCGACTCTTTGTGACCCCCTGGACCAGAGCACGCCAGGCACTCCTGTCTTCCACTGCCTCCCACAGTTTGGTCAAACTCATGTTGGTAGCTTCGAGAACACTGTCCAACCATCTCGTCCTCTGTTGTCCCCTTCTCCTTGTGCCCTCCATCTTTCCCAACATCAGGGTCTTTTCCAGGGAGTCTTCTCTTCTCATGAGGTGGCCAAAGTATTGGAGCCTCAGCTTCAGGATCTGTCCTTCCAGTGAGCACTCAGGGCTGATTTCCTTCAGAATGGAGAGGTTTGATCTTCTTGCAGTCCATGGGACTTTCAAGAGTCTCCTCCAGCACCATAATTCAAAAGCATCAATTCTTCGGCGATCAGCCTTCTTTATGGTCCAGCTCTCACTTCCATACATCACTACTGGGAAAACCATAGCTTTAACTATACGGACCTTTGTTGGCAAGGTGATGTCTCTCCTTTTTAAGATGCTGTCTAGGTTTGTCATTGCTTTTCTCCCAAGAAGGAGGCGTCTTTTAACTTCGTGACTGCTGTCACCATCTGCAGTGATCATGGAGCCCAAGAAAGTAAAATCTCTCGCTGCCTCCATTTCTTCCCCTTCTATTTGCCAGGAGGTGATGGGACCAGTGGCAATGATCTTCGTTTTTTGATGTTGTCAGACATATTAATTCTAAATATAAAATCTGTGCTGCATTTCTTTTTTGACTTTTTTGACTCATGAAACCCAGGGAAAATCTCTTTGCCAATGTCATTGATAAATTGCTGAATCTCTAGCGAATCTTATCCGGATTACTTTGTTGCCTAAGGATGTTTTAATCATCAGTTAAGTGCTAAAAATAAGCTTTCACACAGCTTCCTAACTTGAGAAGCTACATTTCTCAGGGGAGAGGGGAATCCATATTTCATATGATTAATAAAATACACTACATTGAAAATTACAAGCAAGCAAACTCAGTTGAGAATAAGTTTGCTAAGACCCATTTTAGGGTTGCATCTGTCCTGGAGCCACAGCTCAGGGAGGAGAGAACTCAGTGTTGTCGGCAATCTCTCATGTGACATGACAATTTTAAAATCTCATCAACTCGACAAAAATTAAATTGCTCAAAAAGTGTCTGTCACTCCCTTTTTTAATTTTACAGGGTTTCTAAGGGGGTGGAGAGGGGGAGAGAATATGAGTCAATGGAATGTAATTAGTTTAAACCTTATCGTTTCTTATAATGGCACAAAAAATATGAAATTGTAAATCTAACCATGTCTAATAAATTAGTACTGTTACACTGAGATTAGCCTCTCAGGAATCAAACTCAGTTTAGCATGACTAAAGAGGTCCTATCAAATATGAATGCTCTAGCTATCTGTCATCACTTGAGTCCGTCATCTTTGGGAAGTTGCTCATCGCACCAAAGTTATGAACTTAATTGCTCAAGATGATATGTCCATTGTGCTTGTAGTCATGAACATCTAAGTGTACCAGACAGCAATCACATTGCTTTATCATAGGTTCACAGTAGCTTGGGGGGGGGGGGGAGGACCACTTCCTCAACAGAAAAGTTCTTTGCTTGGTTAGTTCCACCATGTAAAGTTTTTGAGAGGTTCAATCACTTGCACTCCAGAGGCATCCTACCCTAGCTGCAGTTTTCTTGGTGGAAGTAATTTATTCCACCATGAGAACTCTCTCATCTGCTCAGACATGTTATTCCTGGGAGGTTGCACAATGGTTGATGCTAGATGTCATCTGCCAACATTTCCCCCATGAAATCTCTTTCTTATCCCACATGCCACCCCCTTTTTCACTTCCCTTCTCCTACAAGCTTGTTAGCAGGAGTGCAAAACTGCCAACTCCCAATAGCCATCGGTGCCCAAATTATGGTGCCAAGCAATCCACGTAGGTGTTTGAAGAATCCATGATTAATGCATCTCTCCCTCTGTGGTCTCTCCGCTCCTCCACATCGTCTTACTCCATTTAAGTCCTGCTGCTTAATATACAGTACTCAAGTTGGAAATGTGCTAGCATCGCAGGCAAAGGTCCAGCACACCACCTGCTTCTCCAGTGAGGAATGGTTGTTTGGGGTGGGTGCACCACCGAGAAAAGGATCCCTCTTCTCACAGGCGAGCTCAGATCTTCTACTCTCCTTACAATCTGGTCAAAATGCTCAGGCACCGACCAAGGTACCAACATCTCAGGTAGACCCCTTGCCAATTTGGGCAGGGGGGTGGGGAGAGGAGTTAAGCACCTGACCTATTGCAGATGAAGCTGAGTATGCCCATCTCCTCCATGCAACAGGACCACAGCTTACCAGGCAAAAACATTCCTACCAATGCAAACCTTTAGACCTGTTTTTTTTTGGGAGGGGGGGTCTGTTTATATATCTTATTTGTGTATTTTAGGCTGTTTTTATTGTTAATTTTTTCAAGGCGCTTTGAGTTCATTTTTTGGGGGGAAGCAACTAATAAATAGAAGAGGAGGAGGAGGAGGAGGAGGAGATGATGATGATGATGATGATGATGAAGAAGAAGAAAAAGAAGAGGAAGAAGAAGAGGAGGAGGAGGAGAAGAGGAGGAGGAGATGAA